GAATATGAAAGAATCTTATAGAAGCAAAAATTGTTTGTTACTGTTTCACTATAACGATGTTAATTTTTTTACCATATGTGTTCTGTGTGTTATGACACCTAAATCATAAAATTTTGGCATTTGAAAGTTTGGCATTGGAGGAGGTGGTGGGCCACAACATTGTGTACTTTTCTCTTTAAGTTTTGCTTTAGTAAATGCTGCATTAGAATATACAACATCATTAATTCCAGATGCTTTAAATGGATCACAAGTTTTATATCCATTTTTAAGGTAAAAATCTTCTTGACCTTTGGTTATTAAATACACATTTTTAATTCCTTTTCTTGCTACATATTCTTCAGCTCCATGTAAAAGTTTAGATCCAAAACCCTGAGATCTGTATTGGTAATCAATTATTACTGAAATATGAAGAAGAAAATTAAATTTTCTTTTTTTTATACTCTTAGTTTTTTTTTTTTAAACAATTACTAACTTACCTGATTGTATAAGGCAACTATGACGTAATCTAGGTATCAAAGATATTTTACAATGACCAAGGACCCTGTCTTCTTTATTAATGAGTATAAGACATGTGGGAAATTCATCGCATGATACATTCAGATATTTTAACCTGTTTTATACAAGAACTTATTTAATTCTTAAAAACAAATTGTTGTTCAAATTGATTGTTATAATATACCGTGCAGTTTCACTTCTTGGCCATTCAGAATTAAGTAATGTACAACAGTCTGAAATTAAATCTGGCCTTTTATGTAGGGGAACTATACTATATTCCTTGTCAATAGTAGTCATAATTTTCCTGCAAGCATAAATCGAGATAACATAATTTTTGAAAAAAAACTATAGTGTATTTTTTATTTGAAATACTAAAACATTTCATATGGAATATATTAAAAAGTTTGATGACAAATTATTGATAATAATGGTTATTATTAATTATAAAATTAAACTAAATTCATAGTATGAAAAAAGGAATAATAGTAAAAAATGTAAAACTAGGTATTTTATGATAACATTACGTAAAATAAATATTTCTATAATTTTACTTACGATGTAATATTTTTTATTTTGTTTTGAAAAAGCCAAAAATAATACGAGACCATTACAGAAATATTTAGATAAAAACTTTTAGATAATAATAATTGTAACGATACGATAGGGATTGCTATCATATTTTTATTTGAATAACGATAAAAAGATACTGAAAAAATCCATCGAAAGATGAAAGGTTAAATAATACATATTTAATAAAAATTAAAAAACAAAGTTAGCTTAAACAGAGTGGACGAATACTCAGAAAGTATCTGTTTAAATCCTTAAATGGAAAAGTGTGCAACAACCTGCGATTGACAGGTTTCGAAAAATAGAAAGTAACACGTTTCAACAAGTGTAATAAATAGCTTGCTATAGATGTCCTTACCGTATTTTTCTAAGTGAACGATGAGAATTTGACACAAAAATTTAAAGGTCACTGTGCTTTACCTGCATGTATCTCTTGTGGAAATAGCTTTGGGATTAGTATCATCTTCAGCTAAGAATGATACTTCTGCCGAACAGATCCCCACTGTTATGTAAAATTTTCGTTGCACCCAGCGGTATTATTGAATATATCATCTCGTTCAAATGTATTCCTGTTCCGACACACGTTTTGAACCTTTTTATATGAAAATTCTATGTATTGTTACTAATTTTAGTAAAAAACAATATTGCGTAGCATTTATGAGAAAATATTGTACTACAAGATCATCAAGTGATATATATTTTTCTTTTTTATTCAATTTTTTTTATTAATATTCTAATACGACATATTTTTTAAATAGTTGAAAAATTTCATATTTTTTTTGCATTTTTTACTTATCATTGAATATTTTACGTTTTGGAAATGTAAATGGCATTAATTCAATACACGAATTTCCTTTTATGTTTGAAACATCTCGCTGGGCCATGTCCATGACCCATTCTCTTTTGAATGCGAATATCTTTTTTTACATTTGACCCATTTTTCTTAATAGCCTCTGTTCTATATGTGAACAATGTCCTGCATTCTTTATTTCAGCAGTGGTAGTCAATGATAGTTCTAAATAATGCGATACCTTAAGGAATTTCAGAGAAATTAGAAAAATATCTGCATATGTTATTTACGTAAAGGAATAAAATAAGTATTTAGAAATCACTGTATATTTCATATACATTTTTATCTAGCGTTATTTCCGATTTATAATGTAAGTATTTAAGACGTTTGAGAACCACTGATGATTACAGAGAGAGCTGTTTAGTTTATTTGTATTAGCTTTGTGTTTCTAATTTTGCGTAAAACAATACTTAAGCTAAGCAAATAATAGTATGTGTACAGTTTTCTTGGAAGAGTATTTATAGTTGCAAGTATTAATGTAAAATACATTGACAGAAGTGAAACGTATAAGAAATTGTAAATTTGATCATATAAACGAAACGAATATTTTAAATATTTAATGAGGGTACAGTTTATAAAATAAAGATGTTGTCAGGAAGACCTCCTGTAACAGGTAATAATGCATAAACTTGAGTTAAAGGCATAAATATTGTTTATATTCTGCTTAACCTCTTGTTTTTTGTTTTGTGTAATTAATAGAGAATCCTTTGGGACTCTCATGGCATGACAGTGCATGGATTCCTGTATTAAATCCAAACAATATAATGGATTACTTTTCTGAAAGAAGTAATCCTTTCTATGATAGAACATGTAATAATGAAATTGTTAAAATGCAACGTTTAAGTCCTGATCAGTTACAGTAAGTAACACACCCAAAAAATTTCACTTAAAAACTTAAAAGAATAATACTGGTATTTAATTGTTCAATTTTAGAAATATGACTGGCCTTGAGTATATTCTTTTACATGTACAAGCACCTATTTTGTATGTAATTAGAAAGCAGCATCGACATTCTCCTACTTTGGCAGCACCACTTGCAGATTATTATATTATTGCAGGTGTTGTATATCAAGCTCCTGATTTAGCATCAGTTGTTAGCTCTAGATTGGTAACTACAATTTATCTAAAGCTATAGCAGCATTGTTAAGATACATTTTTAACTTGTGAAATTATATTGTACAGTTATCTACAGTACATCATTTGCAGTCTGCCTTTGAAGAAGCTAGTTCTTGTTCAAGGTATCATCCTAGCAAAGGCTATTATTGGGATTTCAAAAATGGTAAAGCTCTGGCAGCAAAGAAAGAAACACCTGTTCGTGAAGAACCAAGTTCTTTATTTCAGCGTCAAAGGGTGGATATGTTACTTGCTGAACTTACACGAAAATTTCCATTACCTATCCCCAAACCAGTACATCAAGCTGTAGAACCTTGTAAGTGCTTAGTTCAGTTTTTTCAAAATTATTATAAATATAAAATCAAAATTTTTAT